TCAATAAACCTCTTCTGATACTCAAACTATCCTTTCCTGTGCCCTGTGGGCTGGGGGTGGAGGGAGTAGCCCCTTCCCACACTTTAAAAACATTGTTGCATTTATTTGTGTGTTTGTATTGGGATGGTGGTGAGGGTCAGAGTACAACTGGGAACTGGTTCTCTTCCTCGATGGCATGGGTCCCTGGGATTGAACCCAGGCTTCAGTGTGACAAGTGGCAAATGCCTCTACCTGCTGAGCCGTCCTCCCAACCCCCTTTATTTTCTGAGACCTAAAAGCATCAGATCCCAAACTTCCTATCAATTTTCTCTGTTTTCCAAGAACTGGAATCCTGGTGAGCTACGCACCTTGTTCTTGTGAGGATTCTGGCTCTGTGGTTGTAATTATTACAAAACCAAATTAACAAGAAAGAGCCAAGACAAGAATTTTTTTTTCTCTTAAAGTTACATGTCTGGGGATCTTCCCGAGAAACCGGAAGTCTAAAGGCAGTGAGCAAAGCAAGATACAGATACTTTGAGATCTTAGGAAACAAAGAAGCATTGTTTCTCCTTGTGGGTGTGGCACATGGAGCCCAGGGTCTCTTCCTCAGGCCAGAGCTCTGCCACCAATATGCCCTGGGCCCCAGAGCAATCAGAGCAAGACAAGACAGGCAGGGACAAAAGCCGGGGAAACAGTGGAACGTGGAATGCAAATAAGGAGGAGGGGTTTCCGGCTGGGTCTTTGGGAGCTCTCCCCTAGGACATCTCAGTTGTCCCGGTGGCAGAGGACTTGTGTCCTACCTTGAGGCAGAGAGAGGGACCAGACAGTGAGAATCTCTGGTACTAACCTTCAGCTCAGTGACCCTCAGGACTGAAGGGAGAAAGATTAACTTTTTCAGGTTCTTTCGTCTGCAAACTACTGCACCACAGACCCATAATGCTCTGGCATACTTTTGGTTCAGATATCGGCTTTCTTTTTTTTTTTTTTTAAAGATTTATTTATTTATTACATATGAATATACTGTAGCTATCTTCAGACACATCAGAAGAGGGCATCAGATCTCATTACAGATGGTTTTGAGCCATCATGTGGTTGCTGGGATTTGAACTCAGGACCTCTGGAAGTGCAGTCAGTGCTCTTAACCACTGAGCCATCTCTCCAGCCCAGATATCGGCTTTCAAAGTTATTAAAATAATAACATTATTATTGATGGACTGACAGAACCCAACCCAGAGCCTTGCCACCTATAAGCCATCACTCTATCGTTGGGCCACGCTCCCAGCCCCTCACTGGGGGTTCTAGGCAGAGACTTTACCATTGTGCCACACAAATTTCTTTTAAACAGTATAAAGTTATATTATGGTTCTACCTCAGGCTGGGTGACTTAAAACACCCAGCAGAAATGATCAGGGACTGGTAATTATAAGAATATCAAATATCTGGGGTTTTTCACTTCTAAGATGTATGTGTATATGTGCACACACACACACACACACACACACACACACACACACACACACCGCTAGGGCTTATAGTCAGAAATTGAATCCTTGAACTTCTGATCTTCCAGAAGTGCTTGAATTCCCCAAGGAACATCTCCAGTCCCACGATTTTGGTTTTTTTTTTTTTTTTTTTTTTAATAACCCCCACCTAATGCTTGCTAGGCAAATGCTCCCCCACGGAACTAAATCCCCAGCCTCAAGACTTAGAATTCATCACATGCCATTACTATTAAAGCCCTTGGGGGTCTTGGTTTCTCTTCAAAGCACCTCTACTTTGGGGAAGAAGCCTAAGGAAGGCTAGAGAGGCCAGAGGAGGGGCTGCCTCTGTGCTTGCTGTGTGCAAGTTCCCAGCGGCTCCCCTAAGCTCAGCCAGGGCCCCTTGCCTGCCCGGTTGCCTTGGAGACAACTAGTCACCGTTCAAGGCCTAGGGCTGAGCAGCTGGAATTCTGCCTTGAGAAGAGGAAAGTTCACCTAAGCAGAGAGAGCAAAAGCGTCCCCTCCACAACCCCCAACGGGACGCTGTAGCCAGGACAGGTCCCATACAAAGAGCCCCACCCTTTTTTTTCACCCCACCTGAACCTGAAAAGGCCTCTCTTGCATCTTCTTTTTCTCTCTCACTTTCCCCCTTCCTTCACTGCTCATGATATGCCTCCAAAGTCTTCCATCACAAATGTTTATTTCACTTTATTGGTTTTTTTTTTTAAAGATTGTGTGTGGGGTGTGTGTGCGCGCGCGCATGCGCGCGCAACTTGTGCAGGCATGCTTCTTGTGATTAGAAGCTGTAAGATCCCCTTCAACTGGAGTTTTGGGTGACTGTAAGCCACCGTGTAGGTGCTGGGGACCAAATCCTGGTCCTCTACAAGAGCAGCAAGTGTTTTTAATCAGAGTCCTCGATAGACCAGCCCCTGGGTTGTTGCTTTTTGAGAAGAAAGGTTTCTTATAGCTCAGGTTGGTGTGAACTCTCTTTGTAGCTGAGAATGACTTTAACCTCCTGATCCTTCTGCCTCCAATTACTGGGATCACAAATGTGCACCCCATGTCTGATATATGTTTTTATATTGATATTAAAATTACTTCCGCCGGGCAGTAGTGGCTCACGCCTTTAATCCCAGCACTTGGGAGGCAGGGGCAGGTGGATTTCTGAGTTTGAGGCCAGCCTGGTCTACAGAGTGAGTTCCAGGACAGCCAGGGATAAACAGAGAAACCCTGTCTAGAAAAACCAAAAAAACAAAAAACAAAAAACAAAACAAAAAAAACTTTCTTACCTGGCTTTTGTTGTTGTTGCTTAAGCCTAATATGGTGGGCTATGTAAAGTCTAGTAGACAGAGGCTGAGGCAGGAGGATCACTGAAAGTTTGAGGCCACGAGGGATACATAAATTAAGAACTGAGGGCACAACAATTCTGTAATCTTAACGATTTATTTTTATTTTTAAGACAATCTTTTATTTTTTAAAAAATATCTATTTTATATGCGTTGGTGTTTTGCTGTATGTCAGTGTGGGGGTTGTTAGATCCTCTAGAAGTGGAGTTACAGACAATCGTGAGCCACCATGTGGGTGCTGGGAACTGAACCCAGGTCCTCTGAAAGAGCAGCCAGTGCTCTTAACTATGGAGCCGTCTCTACAGCTTCAAGAAAAGAACTTACAAACTTTTTTGTTGTTGTTGTTTTTTTTGAGACAGGGTTTCTCTGTTTAGCCCTGGCTGTCCTGGAACTCACTCTGTAGATCAGGCTGGCCTCGAACTCAGAAATCTGCCTGTCTCTGCCTCCCAAGTGCTGGGATCAAAGGTGTGCGCCACCACTGCTCAGCGAGTCCACATGTCCTGTTCACTGATCTTTCTCTGCAGTAACTAAAGACTAGACTAGATAGACCACAATCGGAGATTCCAAGACTGCGCCCTGCCGAGCTTAAAATAATATGGGAATTTACAATCGCTGGCATTGTTTCACAAAATAAATCTCTCCTGTCAAACAGCAGACAAGCACGTTATTTTTCAGAGCAGCCCACAGGAACACGAATGCACTGAGATTCTCAACAGGCTAGTTTTAGCCACCCTTCAGCAATGCTGAGGTGAGACTACAACTGAAGAAATCCATTATTCTGTCCTTATGGAAAAATTAAGGCTCCACAAAGACAGAGGAATTAATCTTGTTTTCTAGAAAAACTGGTCTTTGGGACCTGCCCAAAAGCTTCCTTTCTCTTGATTTTTGTTCAATCCAAATGCAAGGTTTCCTCATCTTTGTTAACGACGCCCGTTGTAATTCCTTGCTAGTAAGCTCCAAGCACGCAGCGTCACTCTAACGCTATTTTCTTAGTGGGAACATTAAGAATTCTGTCCGTTTCTAGGTTACTGATCTCAGTTATTCAAACCCGATTCTGCTTAACGGATTTGAGTACGTGCTAGTTGTCTACCCCACCCAGTAGTGCAGGCCCAACCTCTGACATAGCTGCTATCCAAGCACTCTGATCCCTAGAGTCCTAACTCCCCTTGGAGGCCTGATTCAATTACCAACCCCCACCCCCTAAGGCTTACGTCGCCCCATTCCCCCGTGTGCCACAGATGGCATCCATACACCTCCGGGGTTCCTCCCATTCCATTTTACCGTAGGTCCACGTATCTCTATCGCCCACACTTGGAGTTAGGACAAAGGACAGGACCTACTTGAGCAAGGATCACTCGGACCATCGTTACTCCCAAATCTAGGCCTCTTAAGGCCTGGGGCACCCCATCTGCTCGCTGCTCCCGAAGTGCCGCGTAGTCGGCTAGTCTGAGCCTGTGGCTAGCGATTAAAAGGGCCGCCTACGAAGGGCAGGCGGCCTGGGTGGGGGGGCCTCAAAGGCAGCGCGTTAAAAAACGTTTTTATCGTGTGTGAATGTATGTATGTATAATCTTTGCATAGGGGTGCTCATGTGGAGATTGAACCGTAGCTTTGTTGAGTTGGTTTTATGTGGGCTCTGGAATTGAATTCAGGCCATAAGGCTTGCATGGCAAATGTTTTTATCTGTTATCTTGTGGGCCCCCTTTTTATGTGCATGAATGTCTTCTCCCTCCCCTCCCCCTCTGTACTACACACACACACACACACACACACACACACACGTATGGCACTGTTCACAGAGATCAGAAGAGGGTTTTGGATCCCCTGGAACTAGAAATACAGAGAGTTGTGAGCCATCATATTGGTTCTGGGAGTCAAACTCAGGTCTTACGAAAAGGCAGCCCATGCTCCTAACCACTGAGCCATCTCTCTGGTCCCATCCCCTTAATTTTAAACTGACGTTCATAATTGCAATGGCCTTCAAAGGATTTGGGCCTTTGGCATCTGTACCTCTTGGCTTGCACGTCTAGGATAGCAGGTTGGGGACCCGTTGCCTTTCGGGAAGGATGATGACGTGGGTTTTGGCTACAGCTATGGGAAGCCCTGGCCCCAGCGAGGATCTGGGGGGCGGCCACACCTCTGTGGGGGAGGAGAGAGAGGCTGCTCTGAAGGGAGTGGACAGCCCGGCTGCCAGTCTTCCCAGGCTTAGAGTGTAAGATGAGAAGGAGAAGGTGGGCCTCACCCAGGAGGGGAGGGCGCCCAGAAACTTCCTGCGGCTCACAGCTCCACCGAAAACTGAACGCAAGGTCAGTTTGGAGCGGGTGGCAGCCTGCCTGGGGGCGGGAGACCCTCCTCGGGGCTGGGCGGAGGCCTTTAAGCTCCTCGCCATATTGAACGGCCACGCTGAGCGGTCTTTGTCTGCAGAGTCCTCCCACGAACTTTCAACTACATCCTCGGTGTCTGGGGCAAGGGAGAAGAGATCGGAGCTCGGGCGTCTCCAACTTGGAGCCGGGACACTGGCGATTCCGGTTTGGACTGAGGTTCATGTAAGCATCCTGGAAAACTGCTTGCTACAACTCCGAGGAGGTTGGGGGGGACCCAACTGGGACTTGTCGCCTGAAGAGAAAATTGCAGGGAGGTGACACTCTGCGTGAGCAGAGTTGTTAGGACCCTCCACTCCCCACTCCCCAAGACTAGAAGCCAAGAGCCTGGGCTTCTTGCCCCCCACCTGAGAGTCCACGCTGGAGATCTTAAAGACTCTCGAAAAAAGCCACGTGGGGGGATGGTTCCCCTGGGGCTTCCTCCCCTCTCCCGATTGCCTGATCCTCTGGAGTGTCCCCGACGTCTGCAAAGATGTCGATCTGGACGTGTTAGTGGAGGCCTTAAAGCCCGTGGGCACCTTTAAGAAGATCGGGAAGGTGTTCCGCAAAGAGGAGGACTCCACGGTGGGGATGCTGCAGATTGGGGAGGATGTTGACTATCTGCTCATCCCCCGGGAGGTCCGCCTGGCTGGGGGCGTGTGGAGAGTCATCTCCAAGCCTGCGACTAAGGAAGCTGAGTTTCGGGAGCGGCTGATGCAGTTTCTGCAGGAGGAAGGCCGCACCCTGGAAGACGTGGTCCGTATCATCGAAAAGAGCACTCCACACCCACCCCAGCCCCGCAAAAGAGCCAAGGAGCCCAGAGTGAGGCGAGTCCCGCAGATGGTCACTCCTCCACTTCGGCTGGTAGTAGGCACCTATGACAGCAGCAATGGCAGCGATAGCGAGTTGAGTGACGTCGATACCTCTAAAGTCAAAGGCAACAGGGGCTCCGGGAGGACCAGGAAGGTGCGCAAAATGCCGGTCAGTTACTTGGGCAGCAAATTCCTGGGCAGCGATGTGGAGAGCGAGGATGATCAGGAGCTGGTGGAGGCCTTCCTCCGCCGTGGGGAGAAAAAGCCCAGTGCTCCCGTTCCACGGCGCCGAGTCAATCTTCCAGTGCCCATGTTTGAGAACAACCTGGGGCCCCAGCCGTCCAAGGCGGACAGATGGCGGGAGTATGTCAGCCAGGTGTCCTGGGGGAAGCTGAAACAGAGGGTGAAGGGCTGGGCGCCCAGATCAGGCTCAGAGGTGGGCCAGGCCCAGCAGGCCTCCGTAGCAGCTGAGAGGGCTGGAGAAATGAGACACGGCCAAGCCAGCCCGGACAATGATAGCTCCAGAAACACAGGAGACCGGAGCGACCAGACGCTGGGGACCAGACGCTGGAAGCCCAAGATCAAGTGGGTTTCCTTGAGACGATGCAGGAAGGAGCAGGTGCCACCCTCGGCTCAGGGGACAGGCATGCTAGCTGAGCAGCACCCAGAGGCTGCAGAAAACCAGGGCGCAGAGGCTGCAGCTGACCAGAGGGCAGAGGTTGCAGCTAATCCAAGAGCAGAGGCTGCAGCTGATCCAAGGGCAGAGGCTGCGGCAGAGGCTGCAGCTAATCCAAGAGCGGAAGCTGCAGCTAGTCCAAGGGCAGAGGCTGTAGCTAGTCCAAGAGCAGAGGCTGCATCTAGTCCAAGGGCAGAGGCTGCAGCTAACCAGAGGGCAGAGCCTATAGCTAGTCCAAGAGCAGAGGCTGCATCTAGTCTAAGGGCAGAGGCTGCAGCTAACCAGAGGGCAGAGCCTATAGCTAGTCCAAGAGCAGAGGCTGCATCTAGTCCAAGGGCAGAGGCTGCATCTAGTCCAAGGGCAGAGGCTGCAGCTAGTCCAAGGGCAGAGGCTGAAGCTAATCCAAGAGCAGAAGCTGCAGCTAGTCCAAGAGCAGAGGCTGTAGCTAGTCCAAGGGCAGAGGCTGTAGATAACCAAAGGGCAGAGGCAGCAGCTAACCAAAGAGCAGAGGCTGCAGCTAATCAGAGGGCAGAGGCTATAGCTGATCCAAGGGTAGAGGCTGCAGGTAATCAGAGGGCAGAGGCTATAGCTAGTCCAAGGGCAGAGGCTGCAGCTGATCCAAGGGTAGAGGCTGCAGCTAATCAGAGGGCAGAGGCTATAGCTAGTCCAAGGGCAGAGGCTGCAGCTGATCTAAGGGTAGAGGCTGCAGCTAATCTGAGGGTAGAGGCTACAGCTAATCTCAGGGCAGAAGTCCTAGCTGACCAGAGGGCAGAAGCCATAGATAGTCAGAGGGTAGAGGGCCCAGCTAACCAAAGGACTGGTGCTATAGAAAATCAGAGGGTGGAGGTCCTAGCTGACCAGAGGGCAGGGGTCCTCTGTGATCAGAGGGAGGAGGCTGGATCTCAAGCTATACCAGAAACCTCAGCTGGTTCGGGATCTAGGGCCCAGAAACAGGTAAAGACAGTGAGGTTCCAGACCCCAGGACGCTTCTCATGGTTTCGCATGCGCAGGAGAGTCTTCTGGCACACTCCCAGGTTGCCAACCCTGCCCAAGAGAGTCCCCAGGGCAGGTGAGGCTAGGAGCCTCAGGGTGCTAAGGGCTGACACCAGAGCAGAAGTGGGACACAGAGAGCAAGAAGAGCAGCTGTGAGGGAAGGCCAGCACCCCTGCCTGCCCTGTGTTAGCTGCTAGGACTGCTCCCTCCACTGTGGGCTCCTCCTCCTTCCATGTTTGAAAATGGAGGCTGCTGGAGTGGGGGCCAGGCAGCAGCACCCACATTCTCCTTCTCCTTTCTACCCTCATTCTGTACCCTCTCCTGTTCCTCCTTTCCTGCCTCCCTTCCTTCCTCTCCCTCTCCTCTCTCTCTTTTTCTTTCCTTCTCTGTCTATTTTTCATTGAGGCAGAGTCTTGCTAAGAAGCCCTAATGGCCTGGTGCTCCATATATAATTGGTGTCAAACTCACAGTAGTCCTCTACCTTAGCACCCAGAGCACTAGGGTTATGGGAGTGACCCTGTTTTGTTTTGTTTTGTTTTGAGACAGGGTCTCTCTATATAGCCCGGACTGACCTGGAACTCACCATATAGACCAGGCTGGCCTTGAACTCAAAGATCTGGATGTCTGCCTCTGCTAGGACTAAAGCCATGTGCCGCCATGCCCATCTTCCGGTGGCCCTCTATATCATCTTGTTTTTATCTGACAAGATTGTGTGTTCAGGGTGGTATGGCTGTAGATACACTTAATTTTTTTTATACGTTGATGTTTTTTAAAAAAATACTAAATATAGCATCTCAAAGAATGAAAGACGTAAAGCCGTGGAGCCTGGCTGCCTGGGTGGTGTTTGAACTTCTTATGTATTTTAAGTGTTCACAGCCTGGCAAAGTGAAATGGGTAGAGGAGGGGCTTAGTCTGCCCTTTTTCTTCTGTCTGTAACTAACTTTGATTAATGGCCTTTTTGTACTTAAAGAGAGAACTCAAGTCGATATGCAAATAAAAATGTGTAAAAGGTGGTTTCTTGTTTCTGAGGTGACAGTTGACAATGTTGGGCTGATTTGGCTGGCTCAGCGACGATGATGATCCAGTGTTTACCTGCCACTCTGCCTGCCATGTTTAGGCTGCTATGGGCTGGCAGATCTGAGGGTACAGGGTCTGTGGGTCACATACCATACTGATCTTGGTGAAAAGGCACAGAAAACCCATAAGGAGTGAGGTACAGGAGGCATGGCTTGGTGGGTAATGGGCAGCTCTTACAGAGGACTTGGGTTTGATTCCCAGCACCTACATGGTGGCTTGCCACCACATGCAGCTCTCGTTCCAGGGGATCTATCTGATGCCCTTTTCTGGTCTTCACTCACCAGGCACACGCATGATACACAGACATACATGTAGCCTAAACACACGGACACAAACATAATAATTGAAAAACAATTAAAAAAAAAGAAAGAAAAAGGTGAGCCAGCAGGGAAATGCACTCAAAGTGTTGCATTGGAGACCCCTGATGTTAGACATGGCTTCATCTGAGATAGCTGTGTGGCCCTTGAACAGGAAGTCTTTTTTGTTGTCGTCTGTTTTCTGAGAGAGGGTCTTTTATATAACCTCAAACGTATTCTGCTTTCTGAATGCTGGGATCGCAAATGTGCGGCACATTGCTCAGCCTCCAGTGCCGCCCACGCCCCGGTGTGTAAGTCAGAAGACAACTTGGTGAAATCAGTTCCCTCCTACCATGTGGAACCTGGGGATCAAACTCAGGCTTGCCAGCAATCACCTGTACCTGTTAAGCCACCTCCCCTCACTCCTTTCAATCTGAGCAATCCCACAGACGTCTGGGATGGTTTGCCACTGGATGTATTAAAAAGCTATTAGACTAGAAGTTCAAAGGGGAAAGTAGTGTGCACAACTGCCTCTTAGAACCGGATCCTGAGCGGCTAAAGGCCTGCAGGAAGGAAGGTGGAAGTGTCTCTGTGACGCTTGGCAGCAATACAACTAGCAGAGAAAGAATAAATGTACACACACAGCCTCCATAGAAATCAGCAATGAGCATTAGTGGAAAAGGGCAGTCCATTGCTTATGTAACTGAAGAATTATGTCCCAATAGCCCTAAATCTTTTCCCCCCACCCCCAACATGGGAAGATATCTGGGGAGATAACAGGCTCTCCCATGCTAGGTAGATGTTCTACCACTGAGCCACGCCCCCAGCCCCTCACTGGGGGATTCTAGGCAGGGGCTCTACCACTGAGCCACGCCCCCAGCCCCTCACTGGAGGATTTTAGGCAGATGCTCTATTGTGCACCATTGTATACCCACCTTTCCCTTCCATGCTCTGTTTGGCATGCCTCTCAGTGTGGCCTTCCTACAGCCACTTTTGCTGTTCATGAACAAGGCTTTTTTCCTTACAGCTCAGCCTGTCCAGAAAAGAGTTGTTCCACTGGTGTGTTGACTAAAAGACAAAATATGGACCCCACCTGGAGGAGTGGACTTGGTGGGGGCTGGAATTGTCTGGGATGACAGGTTAGGGGGAGAGATCAGAGGTGGTCCCGCTGTTGTCCACAGCCAAGTGAAGGTAAAAAGAAAAGCATCAATAGATGGTGCCACCTAGTGACTGTGTTCAGCCTCCCTCACATGGCCTGGAGCTCAGTGGGCTTTTAGGGATAATACTGGAATCCCAAGAAGGGACTTCACAACAGCAGCAGGATGGATGAGACACAGGACTGTGCACTTCACAGACATCACTTGAACTTTGTGAGACTGTCTTTCACACACACACATACACACAGATCAAACCTACACAGAGCCAGGTACAAGCACAAATGGCAGACCCTATACAAACACGCTGGTAGCCCCCCAGAAATGTCCATTAGTTTGTGGATACACATATGCAGTATTTATTCACACTCTGACTGAGACTCACCAGGCTCCTGCACATGCCAGGAAACCCTCTGTCCCCTGCCACACACACTCCACCATACTTACAAATGTTAGCATTGGCAACCATGCTGCTGGACACACTGTGGACATATGCAATGTCACCGAAACCCAGAAGACAGCCACAGACTGGAATAACACTACCAAAAACAAAACAAAACAAAACAAAAAACAAACCAAAAAACCAAAACAAACCAAAACACCAAGAAAACCAACAACAAAAACCAACAAACAAAACAAAACAAAAAACAAAAACCCACCACCACAACAACAACAAACCCTCTTCCTGGAAGCTATGTTCACAGCCCTTGAGTGGGATATGACATTCTCTTCTCTTCCATATTTAGCAGGAACATCTGGAGAGGACCCAGATGTGAGAGGAGAGGAACACTTACACTGCCCTAGACCAACCGGAAAAGTGATATTGTATCTTCAAATTGTCAACCCAAGGTTTTTGTTGTTGTAAAGACAGAGTCTCATGCAGCCCTGGCCTGCCTAGAGATCCCTATGCCGCGGAGGATGACCGTTAACTCTGGATCCTCCAGTCTTTGCCTACCAGGTGCTAAGATAGCCGGTGTGTACCACACCAGCGTGATACGGTGCTGGAGATCAAGCTCAGGGCTTCAAACATGCCGGGCAAGCACAGATCCTCAGGCTCACAAGGGACTTCTGCTAAGCCTATTCCTGAATTCAGCCTGGCATGCAGAGAGGCCAGGCACGGCTTTGATGTTGTACATACCTAGGACACCCAGTCCAGACATGAAGCTTAGTCACCTGAATAATTGGAAACTGGCGGATTGGATCTCCACCTGGTGGCCACAGTGAGAACTGCAGCTCAGGCTTCTTGGTTGTGGCTGGCTTTGGGAGTGAGGATCACCCCCCCAACTCCCCATTCTAGACAATTCTAGAACATGGCCACACCAAGGGGCAACATCTCAGCGTCCTGTGACCAGCAGTCATGACCAAGTCGGGATGATTCCTGATAAATGAATCCACATTTGAAGCCACAATCTGAACTGTGAATCTGGGGACTGGGTGTAGCAGGTACCGTTCAAAATCTCTTTGTGGCTGGGATGGTTATGCCAGGGCTCCTGGGGTAGGACACTGTGGAGCTCAAACTTCTGGCCTCTCCAAGCTTTGTCGTGTAGGAAATGGGGTGGCTCCTCCCCCTTCCCTATGGAGCAAAATGAAGACAGGCAAGGAAGCAACCTAGAACCTGAACCACCACCTCACTTTCTTTTACTTGACTTTAAAAATCACATTTTAGGGCTGGAGAGATAGCTCAGTGGTTAAGAGCACCGACTGCTCTTCCAGAGGTCCTGAGTTCAATTCCCAACAACCATATGGTGGCTCACACACACACACAGGATTTTATAAAAAGAAACAAAAGAATGTGGGGAGGGGAGGGGTGATGGGTGAAGTCACACTTTGGAGGCCACAAGCTAAGTAGTATTATTATCTTTTCCTTGCTGTTGTAGGTGACACCTCTGATGAGCGGGTGACACTGATACATTAATAGGATGGGGGACTTGGAGACCACGTCTGTCTATCTTAGACTAATTGAAACCGCTGTCTCTCATGAGGGCCCGGCCGAGAGCATGATGGGGGACACCTTTGATATCAAGGTCATAGTTTGGTATGGTAACAAATGATGCAGAAGGATCTGGATTGCAAAGAAGACTGTAGAATGAGTTTGAGGCCAGCCTGGGCTAAATGAGACACAGTCAAAATAATGAATGAATGAATAATACAAAAATGACAGGATATCCTGCACTAAGAGTACATTAATAGTGCCCATTTCTGAACATTATCCTAAGATTGATTACACATCTAATTGCATTTCCCTGTGGTCCTGACTTCTCTTGCTCTTTAAAAGATGAAGCTACTGACTTCAAAGTGGAACCCAGGGCATTATGCGTGTCAGGCAAGTGCTCTACCATGAGACCACACCTCAGGCCTCACTGGATGCTGGAGGATTCTAGGCAGGGGCTCTGGCACTGAGCCACGCCCCCAGCCCCTCACTGGGGGATTCTAGGCAGGGGCTCTACCACTGAGCCACGCCCCCAGCCCCTCACTGGGGGATTCTAGGCAGGGGATCCATCTCAGAGGTATAGTTCCAAGCTCTTCAGTTTTCATCTGAACCAGTTTGGCTGCCATTCACTGTCACAAGAATGAAGTGAAATAGCTCAGGCTCCCAGGCCCAGGCTGAGGAAGGAAGGCTGACTACCACTGTGGAAACAGGAGTCAGGAGGTGGTGGTGCTGGGTCTTTGGAGGGGTGTCCCGGCCTCTTGCCATCTGACCCCACCTCCATCCTCTTTCTGAGGCCTGTGCACATCTGAAACCAGTCTCTTTGGCATCCCTAAAGATAGAGATGCTGTGAGGAGTCCCGTGGAGCACCCAGCGCTCTCCTTCGCTGTCCCTGGCCAGTAAAGATTAACCAGAAGCTTTTTTCCTCATATTACCCTTGACTATGACTACCATCAGGGGAGGGTGTGCAGAGACCACTTCAAGACCAGGCAGGAACCATCTGCGCTCACCCCACCACTCATCTGACAGCTTTCTGGCCCTTATTCCCCACAACCACCTTTCGCTATCTCAAGCTTGGGAGCAGCAAGAGGGGTCATCATCCGATGAGTCAAGAAACTGGGTTCCTATATCAGGGCTGTGTGACTCTTGGCGAGTCATCCACCCTCTCTGAGCCAATTTCCCCATCTGGAAAAATCTAGGATTAGGATGTAGCCAGGTTGTTGCTATCTTGCAGAAAGCCCTGGGTTCAATTGCTACCCCAAATCCAGGCTTAGTGGTGCATGCCTGAAACACGAGCACTGTGGAGGTAGATGTAGTAGGACCAAGAGTTCTAAGTCATCCTCTGCTACACGGGAGATTTCTGAGCAGCCTGGGTTACATGCTACCCTGTGTGGCTGGGGTAGGGCTTTAAGCAGAGTAGAACATCACTAGTGAGATAGAAACATTAGTGTCTGTGGGTTTTGTAACAGGTATAAACTGTTACACCCATCTCAAAGGTGGATGGGTCTGGATACACTATTCCACCCTGCTCACTTGTGCCCTAAGTAAGTGCCATCCAGCGCTAGTGGGTTTTAGCTGTGGTCCTGGAACACCACCTGGTGGTAGATTCTAGTCTGGCAGGGACTTAGGGATGCAGGTCACCTTCTGTCCCCAGCACCTTCATTCCTCTCGTAAGTCATTCTAGGCCCTTGTCACATGCCGGGAAGGAACCATTTCTCTGCCTGAGTAACCAGGGGACCCTGGCACATTTAACTACTGTACATGGATGGGTAGAGCCAAGTCCATTCCCTACAACTTGGCTTCAATCTAGAAATGTTTTACTCCGTCAGCAACAGTAGGGGGCGATAGTGAGCCAGACCTGGAGTCCCAGGCTTGAGTGGCACCTTCCCAACTTTTGCTTTGTAGGGTCCTGTAGCTGAGAATGACCTTTAACTTCTGATTTTCCTGCTTCTACTTCTTAAAGTGCGTGTCCCCCACACTCCCACCCGCATCCCCATTCTGAACCTGCTCTTTCACTTAGGTGGACTTCACCCCACACTATGCTCTACTCACAGAGTTGATTGTGGGAAAGGCAGAGGGAGGGAGGGGAGTCTGCAGGTAGAATTCCTACTGCATTGTTTACAGGTCTGGTTTGGAGACTTATTTCTTAACCATTCTTTGGCACTGGACTTTGCTGTCCTCTCAGTCCCTTACTGGTGAATTCTGGGTCAGTGCTTTATGGTTGAGCCACATCCCTGGCTCCTCTTCAAATTGTCTGGGACTTCTTTGCTGGGCACGTGATGGTTTTCAGGGAAGATCAATTAAGGATTGAAGACCCTGGCAGCAGGTGGCCCATCCAGATATAAAACAGTAAGCTTTTTCAGAGGAACACATTGCCTATCTTCATTTTTAAAAAGTGTGTGGAGGTGGGGGTGGAGGACAATTGAGCATGTAAGAGAGGGGATGGGAATGGTCCTCCCTCCCTACCAGGGACCAAACTCATGCTATTAGTCTTGGTGCAAGCAAACACCTTTACCCACTGAGACTCACTAGCCCACACAGTTGAGGCCCTCTTCTCAGGCTCTTTGGCATGTACAGATGGCCACTGTTGGACTACACCGCCCCTACTGTGTGACATATGCCCTGTCCTGTGCCTTGAGAGGATGCCGACACAGCACGCAGTTTCTATATTAGGAAAGATGTTAAAGGCAGTAAATCATGGGAAACTCATGGTTTGAACAAACAGAGAGACTTCATAGCCCAACTAAAAAAAAGATGTATGTTGTTACTGGGGGTGGGGCATGTCTACCACAGCTTGTGTGAGGTCAGAGGGCAACTTTATGGAGTCAGCTCTCTGATTTTTGCAAGGGATCCAACTTGGACTTTGAGAGTAAAGTTTTAAGCGTGTGACTTAGCTGGAGGATGCACTGCACTAAGGGCCTTGACCGTCACTAGCTGGCCCTGTTGAGATCTGCTGTTTGCTACCCTCTGCCATGTGAGGAGCTGGCCATGAAAGCTCCTGCAGTCTTAACCCAGAGCGACTGGACAACAGAGTGCTGTTCTCAACTGTGACTAGCAACCACCCCTGGAGCTGCTTCTGTCAGATGCCCGGCACAGTGTGGAGAAAAGCACCTGCTACAGACGCGGGCAGTCCTACAGGTTGCTAGGGATTTACACAGAGCACTAGGGACTATGGAATTTTCTGAGGGGTTGAGTATAATCCACCCTCCAGCTTGGAAATAAACACTCCAACACCCACTGGCCACATTCTCTGTTATAGGATTCTTAAATCCCTCAAGCACTACTGAACTGAAGGCTCCAGGGCCTCTCAACCTGCAAGAGCAACAGAGAACTCCCAGGCCAGAGAAATAGCAGCTTCTCAGGCAGAATAACTCCCCTGGCAGCCCAATCCTTGCTTGTCCCACCAGCACACGGCACACAGAACAGTTGCTGGGCACTGCCTCTGCTGAGAACAGCTCCGGGAGCCCAGAGCACTGAGTGTGTTGGCTTTGCAACCCTGCAGGGAGATGAGGGTTCAGAAGGCTCCCTGTGCTCCACCCACTACGCTGTTTCCTTGCAAAGCTCAGCTAAGAGCAGAGGCTTCTGAAGGGGTCTGGGGTCAGACCACAGCCTGCACAGGTCTCAGGGGTTGGAGGATGCTTCTGTGGTCACTCTTGTCCCCTGAGATGCCCACATCACTGTGAGGCATCCAGAACCAAACTGTACCCACCGTGGAGGGGCCCGCACATGGTGGACACATGCTGATGTGGGTTTGAGACAAGGTTTGACTTACAATAATGACTTTATTTTATTTTAACATATTTAATTACAGAACATAAAATAGCTGGGGGGTGGGCCCCAGCCTTGCCCCATCCTGAGCCTACCAGGAGGAGGCCTCCCTGATGACCCTCTTTTGGGGTCTTCCTATGGCAGGGTCCTATTGCTTTACCAGGGGAGGAGCCATGCAGGTGAGGGGGCAAGACCTCCTCTCAGCCTCACCCCTGCCAAAGTTGGCCTTCCTCCAAATGCCCAGGCTGTGCCCTACCCCCAGTCTCAACTCCTCCTTCCTCTGACCAGGAGCCTGTGGTCTGCTGCCCCACGCTGCCCCCACCCCCTCTGCAACCTAAAGGGGAATAAATACAAACTTTACAAAGTAAAAGGGGGTCCAACGTTGCCCTGGGGCGGGGCAGCAGGCCGAAGGCGGGGCCATCCAGCTGGGCAGGCCCTGGTTTACTGCTGTAGACAGCCTCACATCATCCCTAGCTGCAGCAGCGTGTTGGCGTATGCCATGGGCTTGACATTGGGGTGAGGCTGCAGCAGGGGCAGAAAGAGAGGGACAGTCAAGGACGTGCCCATACACAGCACCCTCCCAGTGGGTTCCAGGCAGTGCTCTGTCCTAGGTCACTCACCACTGCTGTGAATTGGTGGAACTGGGGCCGCAGGTCGGAGCCCTGGAGGTGGATGTAGGAGGCTTTGTTTCCCATCTGGTCACTGTAGGGACAGGAGCAGAGGGGCTTGTGTGGTTAGGGCTGGAGATTATGAAAAGATGGGAAACAGAGGGAGGGAGAGAGGTCTGAGACAGGAAAGGGATGCAGAGGAGAGAAGAGGGAGGCACATTTGCCATGGAGAGATGGTGGTGCCAAAGAAACCACATTGAAGGGCTGGAGGAAAGCCACGGAAAGGTGAGGGAAGCAGGGGCAGGAAGAGGCAGTGGGAAAGCCTAGAAACTTGATCTATACTTCCCTAGCACTAGAGGGACAGAGTGACATGACACCGTCAGGTCACAGCCTATCCAGGAACAAAAGCCCATGCAGCCCCGAGTCCTGGTTTCCTCTACAGATACTGAGAGGAGAGAGGAGACTTGGATGAAAAGGCCTTGTTCCAAGGGAAGACCTATCACCTGGGGTTGGGGAGCAGCAGAAGGCCCACAGGTGTTCATCATAATACCCAGTATCCACTCTTAGGAGTCCTTCCTGTGGTGGAAGTTTCCCACCATAAAGGTTAAAGCCCAAACCTGCCACAGTAGCTCATGCCTGCGATCCCACTACTAGGGAGGCCGAGACAACAAACACGCTGTTAATCTGACACCAGACTGGACTAGAGTAAGACCCCTGTCTCAAAAGCCATACATCCGTGATTCACACAGAATAAACCCTGTGGCTTGGGCAGAGTGAGAGGGGTAGACGCACCAATAGTTGGGGGCAGAGAAGACGGTGACACAGAGGCCACCATGGGCCACTTCGTAGCCCTCAGCTTTGACTTCATGGCTGCGGATGATGTAGTCCAGTTGATTCTCCTCCAGGAAGGCCTTGGTGACATCGGGTCCAAACTGGCAACTCACGCCACGCTTGCTGACGGAGCGCCCATTCTGTTAGGAGCAAGGGAACAGGAGACTCTGGGTAAATGAGGGCCCGGCTCTACCTCATCTCAGTCCAAATCTACAGCCAGACACCCAGCTCACCTGTGGCTGGGGATCTGACCACAGCAGGTCACACATGGGACCTACGGGAGAAGGGAAAAGTGTCAGAGACTCACCTGTCTCCCAAGCGTCATCAGACAGGTGCCCACCCCACATACAGCTTGTTGGGAATAGTGAGGTCTCACAGGGGTGTGTTGAGCTGGACCCAGTTTTCCTGTATCTCTCATTCCATCCATTATAAGCCCGCTGCTGGATGGAACTTTTACCACTCCAATTTAGAGCAGGCCCTCTTCTTGTCCAAAGCCTTCTGTGGCTCCCCACTGCCAACAGCAAACTCCATGTTCCTACCAAGGTCTGTAGTTCTCAGGACATGGCCTCGGGTCTTATGTCTAGCAGAAACCTCTGAAGGCCAGCTCTAGTCACTCCACCCTTGCTGTTCCCCTGTACTGGCCACACCACTGCTTCTCTAGTGCAGCTCAAATGTCACCGCCCCACAGAGTCCACTTCACCCACATCATTCATGTCCTCAATGACACAGTCGGTGGGACTTTAACAGGTGCCTCAATTCCTCATTCTGGGGTGAGGGAAGTCAATGAATGAGTGACAAGTGTGTGTCAAAGACTCTGATGTTCCCCAGCCAACACAGTCCCACGCATTCAGGCTGCAGGTGGGAAGTCCACGTAAGGTCTGTGTGGGTCCAGGCACTCCTCTCTGTGCCTGGGCCCACTCACCTGAGTCTGGGGGCTGCCGATTCCGCTCAATCTTCCGGATGTCATCCAGAGTGACACCATCTTCACTGAACAGGCCTCCATGCATGATCTAGGGGAGCACGTGCCTGTGAGGGAAGGCGCTCCCTCTTGCCCCCTCCCCCACAGCAGCCTGTCGCCTGCATGGTGTGAGAGGCCCGAGACTCCTCACCAGCACTTTGCCATTGATGCACTGTGCCAGCGGAAGCCACTCGAACACCTCGCTGAAGAGCTCGTACATCTGGGCTGTGTACTTGGCCTTCACCTCGCCCTCGAACCCATAGATCTGGTTCATGTTGTCTGTCTCGTGGTTGCCTGGCCGTAACAGAGGGACAGGAGAGGACCCTCAGCTTCCAGTTTATTATCTACCTACCTGGTAATCTCAGGTACAGACGTGGGGACAGATGGCATTACTCAATGATGGCCAGCTGGCACTGACCCTTGATAATGAGTGCCCAGCTTGCTACTCAGCTGGAACTTGTGCTAGATTAGTGTCCCCAGGGGGCTGTTCACACTGCTGTGCGTGAACTAGAAAAAGGCACCTTTCGTCCTTGAATCTTTTGTCTGGCACCTTCCAGCAAAGGGTACAGTGAATGCCCACACTGAGCTGCCTATGGCAAGTGCTGCACCTTTTGTGATGCCGCTGGGGTAGTGCACGACCTGTTCAGCCTTACATGGTGGCCCCGTGTAAAGCTTGCCGAATTCACGAAGTGCATGGCTATACTACTCTACGCTTTACAGATGGAGACAGAAGCCCAGGGGAAAGCGAAACCCTCCTTACCTCGAAGTAGATGAAAATGGTCTGGATACAGCAGCTTAAAGCCAAAGAGGGTGAGGATGACTTCGACAGAGAAGGAGCCTCGGTCCACAAAGTCGCCATTAAATATCTTTCATGTTAAGGAAACTGGTTCAGGTGGTAGATGGGCCAGGAAGGCAGTCAGTCCTGTCCCCTTGGCTCCAAGGCTCCTGTCAGTACCTCCAAAGGGGGTGTACCCCTGGCCTGCCTTTGAACTGAAGCTCCCGAGGATGGCCCCAAGGACCCAACCTCACCTGTCTTGGGGAAGCCAATGGCAGAAGCAGCCAGCTGTTCCCCAAGAACAGTTCTCAAACTACAGGGGACAGACCCTACCTCCCAAAAGTATACAGCCTAGGAACTCTACACAGAGTCTAAGCATCAGAAACTACATGTCAAACTCATGAGTAGAGGCTGGGGATGCAGCTCAGTGGGTGGAGGGGATGCTGAACACAACAAAGCCTTGGGTTTCATGCCCAGCATTGCATCAACTGGGTGTGGTGGCCCATGCCTACAATCCTAGCATGAGGAAGAAGGGAAGCTGGACATTCAAGACCAGCAGGAGAGCCCCAAACAAAATAAAGCAAACACCCAGAGGCAAAATAACATGACTCCCAACAACCCTGTGAGGAAGACCCTCTCACCCCACAGTACAGATGAAGGAAAGAAAGCAGGAGAGCTGGCCTGCTGGAGTGGAAGGCTGGGTGGACAGGTGTGCAGGGTAAGTGCTGCCTGTGTGGCACCTTGTAGCAGTGAGAGAGAAGCAGGGCCTGCACCTACAGGCGACTGTGCTATCAGTAAGATGAGGTTCCTGTGTTCTTCCCCGGCGGGGCCAAACCTGTCCACATGGGGTAGCACTGAGGATACATAGGGGTTGGTCTCTGAGGGTAAACCGTTGAGCTCAAATATGTTGAGGAGGTCATAGAACTGGCCATGGGTGTCCCCGCACACTGTAATCTTCTCTGTCTGAAAGAAAAGAGGCCACCGGAGAGGGAGGGGCCCAGAGAGAGATGTGGGGAGGGGGCAGAGGGGAATGAGGGGTGAGAGGTCACAACAGACCAAGAAAATCCATGCAAGACACAACGATAGGGGACACAGCAATGAGGAAGGCAGACAAGTGGGAGGGATGTCAGGTACAGAGATGGGGGAAGGTTGCGTGCGCAGGTGGGTTTCTGAGGTCCTGAGCTGAGGAGACCTCCCGCCTGACTGCTCACCCTGCCTTGACCACATGCACCCACAGCCCAAGGCGCACCTCTTTCAGTGTCGTCTCCACCAGCGTGCTCAGCTTGCAGAGGACTTCTTTCACCTGTACTAGGATCTGGAAGACAGGGCAGGCTGTAAGTACGGCTGCCTAAGGCGGGAGTCCAAGCTGCTACCCTTCAGAGGCCCACAGAAAGCCTCAGCTACCCAGGAGCTACTGGATGCTACCCAGGGACAGGAAGAGAGGTGGCCCTCAAGTGGTGATCTGATCTGGCCTATGTGTCATTTAAACATCATGATCAGGGGCTTAATACATGGCTCAGCAGTTAAGAGCATTGGCTGCTCTTCCAGAAGACCAGGGTTTGATTTCTAGCATCCATGTGGTACTTCACAACCTTCTACATCTTCAGTCCCAAAGGACTCGGTGCCGCTTTCTGCCCTCCACAGGCACTGCACACATGCAGTGTACAAATATACACACAGGCAAACAATCTAAACATCACCATGATTTCATAAGGGGTTATGGTTCATCTTTTAAATTGCCAACATTAGGAAACAAAACTGTGGTATTACAGTATAGGAAAGCTTATAAAAAGAACCAGCCTAGAGCCAAGGATGGCTTAGTGGGTAAGAGCACTTGCTTGGCAAGGATCTGAGTTCAAATCCTCAGCACTTTGGTGTGTGGGCCTGCAGTTCCAGCATTGAGGGAGCAGAAACAGGCAGGTCTCCAGAGCTTGTGGGCTAGCCAGCCCAAATGAATGGTGACCTTCCAGTTGAGTAAGACCCTGTCGTCTGCCCTCTCCTGGCATCTGCAGGTGTGTACAGGAGTGGATACATACATACATACATAAATACATACATACATACATACATACATACATATAAAGAGCTAGCCTGCACACATGTAAATGCCATAGTGATAAAGGTCCTGAAAATATAAGCTTTTGGGGGCTGGAGAGACAGCTCAGTGGTTAAGAGCACTGACTGCTCTTCCAGAGGTCCTGAGTTCAATTCCCAGCAACCACATGGTGACTCACAACCATCTGTAATGGGATCCAATGCCCTCTTCTGATGTGTCTGAAGACAGAGACAGTGTATTCATGTACATAAAATAAATAAATACATGTTTAAAAAAAATCACATTTTAGCTAACATAGTGGTACCCAGCTACTCCAGGGACTGAGGCAGGAGAATCACCTTGAGCTTAAGAGTTCGAAACCAGCCTTACCCAGGTTTTGGTCTTTTGACTTTTCAGACAGGGTCCATTCACAATGTATCTCTGGCTGGTCTAGACCTCTCTATGTAGACCAGGCTGGCCTTGAAGTGCTGGGATCAAAGGTGCACACCATCATGCCCTGCACAGCCTGGGATAGTAAGACCGTGTCCCAACAACCCCCTCAATCACCTTAAACACATTTGGGGACTTCAGGAGAAATGAAAACACCAGGACATCTGTTGATACAACTTGCTCACACTAAACATAACCTTGAGAAAAGTCAAGTGTGTTTAATCTGAGTTTTAGATTTTATGGACAGCCTTTGGGCTGTCTACAACAGTTAATACTCAATAGTGTCCCATCACGGAGACAAGTGCCTGCCTTCCAGTTGAGTAAGACCCTGTCGTTCTGCCCTCCCCTGGCATCTGCAGGTGTGTACATGAGGGGATGTCCTTGTTTTAGGATACATGTTATTATGGTTACAATTAATTCTCAAATGTTCATGGAAAAGCAAGGAATGGAGTCCCCACACCTGTGAAAAGCATGTGGCTGTTAACTGCTTATCTTTCAACTTCCTTATAGGTTTAACCATTAAAAAAAAAAAAAAAAAAAAAAACTTGGGGAGGAGATGAAGTGTCATAAAAACCCAGGGGGCAGCCACTCTGGTCAGGCAAGGAAGTTGCAAAGAACTCTTGCTGCTCTATGGACTGGAACAAGCCAGACAGCCAGCACTGCACTCACAAAGAAAACCAAATCCACCCAAGAGCCACAGTACAAAAATCCTAAAGGAATCACACCACAGGGTGACAAGCAGCGCCTCTGTGGGGCAGTGGGGTTGTGGCTGCTCAGGCTGGTGGCAGGAAAGTGGCTCCTGTTTGGGTTAAGGCAGGGGAAGGCAGTGACCACTGTCAGGCTGACCTCATCACAGGAGGGGCAACACGAGTGGCTAGCTGTCACAGAAATGACTTGAATTATCTGAGAGCTGTCCTGACCATGCACGTCCTCTCTTACTCTTGTCCCCATCTTAAGCCAGCCACACTCTTCAAGAATTCCTCTCTCCTACGCCTTCCCAAGGTCTCCCTTCTGAGCTTGGGAAGTCTTCTAAGTACTGCCCACCGCCCCCGGTGCTGCGGTATTAGATGAGGTCACTTTAGCTCTCAGCACGGTGCCCAGCACAACACCCTGTCCTAGGAGGGCTGGCAGTGGCAGGCCCATTCCCAGGTCCCAGGTGTATGTGGCACAGGAGGGTGTGTTACCTGGTAGGCGCACTTCCGGTGCAATTTCTTCTGATCCTTGTACCACTGCATGAGGTCTTTCATGAAGGTGATTGTCACTTTGCCATCCTCAAGCTTGGGCCCGCTGTATTCATCTTCAATGGCTGGTGTACAGACAAAGGGATTAGTTACGGGCTTCAGCTGTGCAGGGGCAGGAAGGGGACCTGGCTCCCAGGGATTGGGGAAGAGACTGGGCAATGACGTTTCCCACGGTGCTGTGGTGCTCCTGGATCTTAGGATCTTCCTGCTTTGGCAACTGTCCTTTGAGGAGTTGTTTCCCCTCCCTTTGCCCCACATTCTAAACTCAATTAGCAGTGGCTAAGGGGTGACTGCTAAATAATCTCTTCAGATTCAGAGCCCAGAGCACCTGCTAACCTTTGGGTGACATCAGAATGTGAGCCACTCCTTCTCCCTAGTCCTGTGTCTCAGCAGTACACAGCACAGGGAGCGTTAGATTACACTGCAGTCATGCACCATCTAAAGAACGTGGGCACTGCAGGTCCAGAAGAGTCAAGGTTCACTGTGAAGATGCTCTGGCCAGAAGAAAGATGACGGCACACACCCTGAATGATGAAGACCCCATCCTACATGTGGCATCCTCTCCTAGATAAACCTTGCGAACCCAAGCTCCTCGAGTGTGTGTGTCTGGGAGGAAGACAGACATGCTAGCTCCTGCCACATCCTTAGGAGGCAGGTCTTCAAATACAGCTGATTGCTCCATTAACTTCTGCCTCCCAGGAACTGGCTCCTCAGGGTTAAACAATGGCTAGTGGTTTAACTCAGTGTCTATCCCTACGTAATGAAGTCTCTGTAAAGACTCTGAGGCAAAGGCAGGTCTCTAGGAGTTCCTAGAGTCTAGGACCTAGGCAGTAGAACCCATGGAGGTTGATGGAGGGCAGTTCTCATGCCCATGCACCTTCCCTCTGCAGCTTTTCATCTGTAGACTGTGTAACAGGCTGGTAAGGACCCTTGTGGGTTCTGTGAGTCACTCAACAAACTAATGAAACCCGAAGAACAGACTGTGGGAGCCCTGATTCACACCTAGTGGGTCAGAGGCAAGGTCAAAACAAATTTGGAACTCTGAACACACATCACTGTGGAGGTGGCAGGTTCTGCACAAGTACCATGGCACATACATACATACTCACACACATGATAATCAATGAATGGTTTTCAAAAGTGTCGGGGGTGGTGTGGGGGTGACTTGGGGCTGTGTCTCCATTTAAACATCATGATCAGGAGCTTAAGACACGGCTCAGCAGTTAAGAGTATTGGCTGCTCTTCACTGACTTCAGTCAGAACTGATTTGAATCAGAGCAATGTACAGATGGTGCTACGCAGACTGGAGGGTCTGGTTACTGGTGGGAGAAATCTGGATACAGTCTTGGTGAGCAGGAGTCTGTGCTGAGTGCTGAGAGTGATGGGGAAAACCATGTGCTCTGCTACATCGTCAGCACTAGTGTTACAAGCAGGATTTGCTAGGATGGCCGTCACTCACAGAAATGTGGTAGGGGAAGGAACAAGGTAAGAGGGAAAAGTAAGAGCTATGACTTCTGGGTGGCCACGTGGTCGCCCACTGTACAGGGATACAGCTGTGCTGTGCTCTGACTAAAGGCACCAATTCTATATTCTACTAAGAAAATGTGAACTGCTCAATCTCTTGGCCAAAGCTTTAGAAGATGGCTAAAATTGCAGCACAAAGAGTGTAGGGTCCGATGCTGGCCCGAGACCAACTTTTTAGCTTCCAATAGCAGCAGGGGAAGTCACACAAGGACAACAGACAGCACCCCCAAGACCTCTGGTCACCAAACGTGAAAGAAAGGGCCAGAGGGAAGACAAAAAACACTCTGAGAGCAGAAGGCCTGGGACTAAGGCAGTCTTTGACCCCATTGTCAGCTTCCCAAGGAGCCTTACTGCAGTGCACTCTAAAGGCTTTGGCTCAGAAAGGTGCAGAGCAGAGGGACACACCAGGCTGTGCAATGGTTAGTGTTAGTTACTGTCAACTGGACAGAGTCCAGAATCACCCAGGAGACGGGCAGCTGGGCATGTCTGTAGAAGGATTATCTTGATTAACTGAGGTGGGAAGACCTGCCCACTGTGGGTGGCACCATTCCCTGGCTGGAACCCTAGACCGTGTTAAGGAAAAGGAGCTGAGCAGCAGCGGCTGCATACATTCATCTCTTTCTGCTCCCTTATTATGGAGGCAATATGATCAGTGCTTTATACTGCTGTTGCCCTGGTTTCCCAGCCATGGCCTGTACTCTTAAACTGTGTGCCAACATGACCAGCCCTCTTTCATTATGTCACTGTATTGTATTATAGCAACAGGAAAAGAAACTAAGACTTCTATGGCACACTGCAGATGGCTGCACACACCCCAGACATGCCAGGGTTACTTCCCAGCAACAGCTTGCCTGGCAGACTGACCACCAGCGAATGTAATATCTGCTCACCTTATCTGGGGTGTCTGCCTCTGCCATCAGTGCTGACAGGAAGGACACTGCAGAGGAGTAACTGATTTGTTTCTAGCGCAAGCCATATGGGGTTGTGGACTTGCCCTGCTCAACAGAACTTAACTGCCACAAACCCAAAATCAATTCAGAAGCTCTGCTAGATTTGGGATCCCCACCCTCCCTTATAGGTCTGAGAGATGCTACTGAAAACATCAAGCAAATGAGGAAGAGCACAGACACAGAAGAAAGGTAGCCGTACTTAGGGTTATTAAGGAAATAAGACAAGATGTGCGCTGGCATGTGCATACAATCCTAAAACCTGGAAGGCCGAGGCAGGAGGACCTTGAGTCTGAGGGTTTCTTGAGCTTTACAGAGAGAAAAGATGAGTAAAGAAAATGAAGAGGAGAGACTGGCAAGATGGCTCAGTAGGAAAAGAAAGGCTCTTGCCACCAAACCTGACAACTGAGTTTGATCCCCGGGACCCACATAGTGGAAGGAGAGACCTGGAGAGAGCTGGGTTTCCACTCACAAGCCAGGTGCGTGCCCTCATCATGCACATACAACCCTCCCCCCATGCCTCGACCCACATACATGCACAAACCAAACAAAGCCAAGAAGAAAAGGGTCTAAATACACCATGACATCACAGCTGCGATGGGGCAAGGGAGCCTCTGCCAAAGCCCACACATTAGGGGAGTCCACAAAAAGTTGCTCTATTTACCCCTGTTTAGAAATGTTTGACATTTCTAAGAGATTATGGTGAGAAACCTGCTTAGACATTGCTTGGAGCAGCAGACATACTAATAATACAAAAATAACAAGAATTGAGATTTTAGAAATAAAGAGTAGGTGTCCTGGCTCATGGATCCCACCCTACCCCTGAAACTACAAGCCGTAGATCAAAGGGTTGGAGGGGATAGAGAAATTCCCGAGACCCCTTGATACGCACTGTGGTGCCTAAATATAAGGGTTGGAGTTGGAGAGATGGCTCAGCAGTTAAGAGCACTTGCTGCTCTTGCAGAGGCCCCAGGCTCAGTTCTAAGAATCCACATAGCTCAAACTTCCTGTGACTCCAAGTCCAGAGGATCACACCCTCCTCTGGCCTCTAAGGACGGACACCAGGCACGTAAGTGATGTACAGATATACAAATTCACAGGCAAAATACCCACACACGTTGAAATAAAATTAATAAAAGACGCCGGGCGGTGGTGGTGCAGGCCTTTAATCCCAGCACTTGGGAGGCAGAGGCAGGTGGATTTCTGAGTTTGAGAGTTCAAGGCTAGCCTGGTCTACAGAGTGAGTTCCAGGACAGCCAGGACTACACAGAGAAACCCTGTCTCGAAAAACCAAAATAAAAAATTAATAAAAGACTTCAAAAACTGGCAGGACTGCAAGTTGGAGGGTAAGAGGTGTCTTCAATGTTCCCAGGGGCTGATGTATCTCAACACACGTGATGGACATACTCACTCCACCTGGCCGTACTGTGGGGACGTACACAGCACTGGGCTGTGGAGTCCCCTTCCTGTCAGGACTAAGTGAACATGTAAACTGGAACTGAGCATGCTGCCCAAGCCACTCAAGCCCACATCATATGTGGCAGGGACAGAAGGGCTGGCCTGGGCACATTTCACTCAAGCCCACATCATATGTGGCAGGGACAGAAGGGCTGGCCTGGGCACATTTCTGTGCTCACTAAAGTAGGAGTGGTCAATGACCCCCAGTAGTTTCTAAGTATCCCCAGTACATGCGCAGGAAATGAACGGCCATGGGAGCTGCAGCACTGCAGAGAGCCGAGTCTAGACATGTCCCCTCAGGTTCAGCACGACTGCTGGGAGCTACGGGATCGTCCTGTGGGTGAACTCCCTGAAGAGCTGGTGAGTCAGGGTGATGCTGGTGGCCTCAGGGGACTATAAATGGATTGTGACAAGACTCAACATTGACACTGCCTCCAGAGACTGCGCTTAACATCTGACCGTAGCAGGGAAACATGCTCCTTAGAGCCAGCTCACCAGAGAAGAGGAACTAGCATCCAAAGAACTAGCTGGCTAAGCTGAGGGGAGATACTGAGTATGATGGCTCAGCTCTGTAAGATCAGCACTTGGGAAGCTGAGGCAGGAGGACCATCGTGAGTTTGAGGCCAGCCAAGATTAGAATGAGATTCTTTATGTCCCTGTCCCAATTCACAGAAACCCTGGACTTACACACCTGAGAAAATCTAAAGGGGTATGTGCCTGGATCCACTTGTCATCTGGAAGATGGGGTAAAGAGGACACAGCTCTTGTCAACAGAGAAAGATGCCACAATGATCCCACTGTTCCCCTTCCAACTGTGAAGCACCGTCACAGAGTACTGGAACCTGGGTGAGTCTTAGGCATGGCACTATAAACCTTATGCCTTAATTCTTCGGGACCTGATGGGGGCAGGTGCTGTCCACACTCCAGCAGGCAAAAATCAAGGATCACAGTGAATAATAAGGCCGTCTGACCCATAAGACATGGTGGGGAAATGGAACCATGCACCCTATGCCTAACCAGAAGTGAATGGGCCAGGGCAAGGCACTAGAGTTAGGACGTGACAAAGGAAAAATCCTGACACCACGAGCTTAGTCGAAAAGGTTCCCATGCTTATGATTAAGATGGAGGGAGAGGGCTGGGGAAGATGGAGAATACGGAGATGAGGGAGAGGGATGGGAAGATGGAGAATACGGAGATGAGGGAGAGGGATGGGAAGA